TGTGTGTCTGGGTAAACTCTCGTCCCCAGAGTCCACTCACGGCAAGGGAAACCTGTCGAGTGGTTTACACTGAAGGAATGGATATGATTGCTTCGGTTTACTGCGGAAAAGTTCTGTTTGATGGAGTCGAAGCCCAGTTGGTGGGCACAAGCGCTTTAGCTTTTGGTGATGTGTTGCGGCTAGCGGTCTATCTATCTATCTATCTATCTATCTATTTATCTATCTATCTATGTGTGTGTGTGTGTGTAAATCACGAAGAAATTAACACACGATCAACAATGCGACAGTGTCCGCCCACGAAGGAAGAATTAAGACTGGAAATTCCTTAAGCTCTTTCTTATTTAATAATATTATCTGGTAATCATATTTTTATAAAAATATGATGACCAGAGAGATTCTTTATAATGACTCTTATGATGAATGACTCATGAAAATATGATGACTCTGTTGATCAGATCTTGGGGTAATAATTAGCAACACAGGGGATAAAACAAGTCATCCTTACATTCTTTCAGGACGCAGGCGAATATTCCCTCCGGCTTCCGCCATCAAACTTAAGCAGATAAAAATAAACAAATACCATAATTTACGAATTGGAAATGCAATATATTGTTGAAATGCCTTAATAATGAACATATTTTCCCCTGTTTCCGGGGTTGCCCGCTGCAGGAGAGTCCGTACGTGATGCTCCGTAAACTGAAGAATGCGACGGGCAATGCTCGCTTGTACGGCTACTGCATAGACCTCCTGGACCAGCTGGCCAGCATGGTCGGCTTCAACTACGAAATTACCGTCGAGCCCTTCGGTAGATATGGTAGTTACAATGAAACTACCGGCCAGTGGGACGGGCTGGTGAAGATCATCATGGATAAGGTGATGATGGTGGTTGGAGAACGATGTGTAGTTATGGTAGTTAGTGGTTGAGGGTGCAGTAGTTGGAGATTGCTGTATACTGTAGGTCTAATGGCTGTTAGTGATAGTGTTGGAAAGCGCAGTAATGGTTTTGTTGACTTGGTCTTCAGACAATCTATTAGACAATCTACCAGCTGCTGCTACAATACATCCCCAGTTGCTTTGCAGAGTAGTTAGTGATTGGTGCCAGGAGCCCTGCAAGCTATACGCTGCCTCCTGCAATACGGTCGTGCAACACACTGAAACCGATACGAAAATGGACTCAATGGCACTCTACCGAACCGTCGAACATGTCCTTGTATTCTCCCAGCGCTTCTTTCTTTCCCATAGGTTGGGCGTCCACTTGGACCGGTCGGTAATGTGGCACATGTGCTCCTTGTCGGGTCCGCGTTCGAGCCCCGGTGGTCCAAGTGGTTGCGAACCGTTCCTTCACTGTGTGCACATCCCAGCCTCGCTTCTTGCAGAGTCGTGGTTCGATTCATATTGAACAGTTTACGAGCGATATCGTAATCTCCCTCCAGAGATATCCCCAGCGATATCACACTTGCGTTATCCCCAACGATATCAAACCTGAGACATCTTTGATTGTGACGCAACGCTGCTTCAAGCACCTGTGCGTGACGCAACACTACTTCAAGCACTTCTGCGTGACGCAACGCTGCTTCAAACACTTCTGCGTGACGCAACGCTGCTTCAAGCACTTCTGCGTGACGCAACGCTGCTTCAAGCACTTCTGCGTGACGCAACGCTGCTTCAAGCACTTCTGCGTGACGCAACGCTGCTTCAAACACTTCTGCGTGACGCAACGCTGCTTCAAGCACTTCTGCGTGACGCAACGCTGCTTCAAGCACTTCTGCGTGACGCAACGCTGCTTCAAGCACTTCTGCGTGACGCAACGCTGCTTCAAGCACCTGTGTGCGTGACGCAACACTGCTTCAAGCACTTGTCTGCGTGACGCAACGCTGCTTCAAGCACTTCTGCGTGACGCAACACTGCTTCAAGCACTTCTGCGTGACGCAACACTGCTTCAAGCACCTGTGAGTGACGCAACACTGCTTCAAGCACCTGTGAGTGACGCAACGCTGCTTCAAGCACTTCTGCGTGACGCAACACTGCCTCAAGCACGTGTTGGAAGCCTTGACGTATGATATCAACGATGACTCAGCACATCCCCCATGATAACTGCCCTGATATCATGATATCACGTCCACGTCACGCGCCACTCCGTGAAAGATGCAAATGTTTCGCCTGAAAACATGACACGTGCCAACCCTCACAACCCACTTAACCCACCGAGGCTGGTCCACACAGAGCGTCACTATAACAGTGCAATAATGTGGTCTAGTACGTCGCTTTTTGAACGTATTAATACCCCAATAGAACCTCCAATAGAACCCCCATAAACCCAATAGAACCCCCATAGACCCAATAGAACCCCCCACAGACCCAATAGAACCCCCCCATAGACCCAATAGAACCCCCCATAGACCCAATAGAACCCCCCATAGACCCAATAGAATCCCCAATAGAACCCCAGTTGACCCAATTGAACCCCAATAGTCCCAATAGAACCCCCAATAGACCCAATAGAATCCCCAATAGACCCAATAGAACCCCAATAGACCCAATAGAACCCCCAATAGACCCAATAGAACCCCCAATAGACCCAATAGAACCCCCCAATAGACCCAATAGAACCCCAATAGACCCAATAGAACCCCCAATAGACCCAATAGAACCCCCAATAGACCCAATAGAACCCCCAATAGACCCAATAGAACCCCCAATAGACACACTAGAACCCCCAATAGACCCAATAGAACCCCCAACAGACCCAATAGAACCCCCAATAGACCCAATAGAACCCCCAATAGACCCAATAGAACCCCCCCATAGACCCAATAGAACCCCCAATAGACACAATAGAACCCCCAATAGACCCAATAGTACCCCCAATAGAACCCCCAATAGACCCAATAGAACCCCCAATAGACCCCATAGAACCCCCAATAGACCCAATAGAACCCCCCAATAGACCCAATAAAAACCCCAATAGAATCTCCCATAGACCCAATAGAACCTCCTATAGACCAAATAAAACCCCCAATGGACCCAATAGACCCAATAGAACCCCAAATAGACCCAATACAACCCCCAATAGACCCAATAGAACCCCAAATAGACCCAATACAACCTCCAATAGACCCAATAGAAACCCAAATAGACCCAATACAACCCCCAATAGACCCAATAGACCCAATAGAACCCCAAATAGATCTAATAGACCCCAATAGCCCCAATAGAACCCCCCCAAATAGACCCCCTAAGACCCAACCCACCAACTCACACCCCTCTATAACCAGTATCAACAAATGCTCGACCCCTGACCCGGTTTTTGACCCTTGCTCCCCCGCCGTGCCGCGCCCTGCAGGAGACGCCCTTCGTCATGACGAGGCTGGCCAACGACACGTCGGGCCACGGCCGCTACGAGGGCTTCTGCGTCGACCTCATCGCCTACGTCGCCGCCATGGCGGGCTTCGAGTACCAGATCGAAGTGTCGGAGGACAGCCTGTACGGCCTGATAGACACCGACACCGGGGAGTGGAACGGTCTAGTGAGGGACCTTATTGATAAGGTGAGTCAGGAGTCAGTTACTGATGAGTCTGGTGAGTCACTGATGGGTCTGGTGAGTCACTGATGAGTCTGGTGAGTCACGGATGGGTCTGGTGAGTCACTGATGGGGTCTGGTGAGTCACTGATGGGTCTGGTGAGTCACAGATGGGTCTAGTGAGCCACGGATGGGTCTGGTGAGTCACGGACGGGTCTGGTGAGTCACTGATGGGTCTGGTGAGTCACGGACAAGTCTGGTGAGTCACGGATGGGTCTGGTGAGTCACTGATGGGGTCTGGTGAGTCACTGATGGGTCTGGTGAGTCACAGATGGGTCTAGTGAGCCACGGACAAGTCTGGTGAGTCACAGATCTATCTGGTGAGTCACGGACAAGTCTGGTGAGTCACGGACAAGTCTGGTGAGTCACTGATGGGTCTGGTGAGTCACGGACGGGTCTGGTGAGTCACTGATGGGTCTGGTGAGTCACGGACTCGTCTGATGAGTCACAGATGGATCTGGTGAGTCACGGACGGGTCTGGTGAGTCACTGATGGGTCTGGTGAGTCACGGACGCGTCTGATGAGTCACAGATGGATCTGGTGAGTCACGGACGGGTCTGGTGAGTCACTGATGGGTCTGGTGAGTCACGGACGCGTCTGATGAGTCACAGATGGATCTGGTGAGTCACGGACCGGTCTGGTGAGTCACGGACGCGTCTGATGAGTCACAGATGGATCTGGTGAGTCACGGATGAGTCTGGTGAGTCACGGACGGGTCTAGTGAGTCACGGACGCGTCTGATGAGTCACGAATGGATCTAACAAGGTGAGTCAATGAGTCACAGAGATAAAATAAGGAACTCATAAATATTGTGAGTAAAGGTGAGTAGAGTGTTGAGAGACAGTAGCCTTGTGAGTATAGCATCTTGTACAGTGTTGTTCCCTAGACCACCAACCTGCCTGTTGCTGCTGGCTTTAAGCATCACCCAACACACCCAAAATAATTCCATCACTTTAGAAATTATCACATCAATAGTAGATTTTTGTAATATATTTTTAAAGTTAACATCTGCCTAATAATTAATAGTAATTGATAACATAATCTATGGTAATATGACGTGCTTGTCAGAACCTTTTTGGCAATGTATTGGGATCGATCTCGCGTCCGTGGACCAACCCACTACACCGTGATGAGCGATGACATCTTGTTACACTATATGTAAGCTCATCATGGCTGAGTCGGTGATGTGTGTGTGTCTAAACACTCGCCAGGAGTCGCGTGTTCGAGCCCAAGCTACTGCCCCAATAACTCTCACAGGGGCTTGTTACAGAGGAGGACAATGGCTGAAGCAATTAGCTTGAAACAGCTGTTACTGACCAGTTGTTAAGGTCGACGTAACTCACCTTAGAGAGGTAACAAGCTCTTCAGATTAATAACTAGTTAAGTGGTTAGTTGTTCTGACACCAACACTAAAGACTTAACTACACTACCCCCCGCTGGGGTCACTAACTACCCCCGCTGGGGTCACTAACTACCCCCGCCGGGGTCACTATAACTACCCCCGCTGGGGTCACTAACTACCCCCGCTGGGGTCACTAACTACCCCCGCCGGGGTCACTAACTACCCCCGCTGGGGTCACTATAACTACCCCCGCCGGGGTCACTAACTACCCCCGCTGGGGTCACTAACTACCCCCCGGGGCCCACTAACTACCCCCCGGGGCCCACTAACTACCCCCGGGCCCACTAACTACCCCCGGACCCACTAACTACCCCCATGGGCCCACTAACTACCCCCGGACCCACTAACTACCCCCATCTTATCTTTGAGGTTATCTTTGAGATGATTTCGGGGCTTTAGTGTCCCCGCGGCCCGGTCTTCGACCAGGCCTCCACCCCCAGGAAGCAGCCCGTGACAGCTGACTAACACCCAGGTACCTATTTTACTGCTAGGTAACAGGGGCATAGGGTGAAAGAAACTGCCCAATGTTTCTCGCCGGCGCCTGGGATCGAACCCAGGATCACAGGATCACAAGTCCAGCGTGCTGTCCGCTCGGCCGACCGGCTCCCTACCCTACCTGGGTAGGGTAGGGAGGTAGTTAGGTAGTTAGTGGGCCATGGGCCCACTAACTACCCCCCGGGCCCACTAACTACCCCCGGACCCACTAACTACCCCCCTGGGCCCACTAACTACCCCCTGGGCCCACTAACTACCCCCGGGGCAATTAACTACCCCCCGGGCCACTAACTACCCCCGGGGCCCACTAACGAGCCCCCTGGGCCCACTAACTACCCCCCGGGTCACTAACTACCCCCGCCGGGGTCACTAACTACCCCCGCCGGGGTCACTAACTACCCCCGCTGGGGTCACTAACTACCCCCGCCGGGGTCACTAACTACCCCCCAGGCCCACTAACTACCCCCCGGGGCCCACTAACTACCCCCCGGGGCCCACTAACTACCCCCGGGCCCACTAACTACCCCCGGACCCACTAACTACCCCCCTGGGCCCACTAACTACCCCCGGACCCACTAACTACCCCCCTGGGCCCACTAACTACCCCCGAACCCACTAACTACCCCCATGGGCCCACTAACTACCCCGGACCCACTAACTACCCCTATGGGCCCACTAACTACCCCCGGACCCACTAACTACCCCCATGGGCCCACTCACTACCCCCCGGGCCCACTAACTACCCCCTGGGCCCACTAACTACCCCCGGGGTAATTAACTACCCCCCGGGCCACTAACTACCCCCGGGGCCCACTAACGAGCCCCCTGGGCCCACTAACTACCCCCCGGGCCCAATAACTACCCCCCGGGGCCACTAACTACCCCCCGGGGCCACTAACTACCCCCCGGGCCCACTAACTACCCCCGGGCCCACTAACTACCCCCGGGGCCCACTAACTACCCCCGGGCCCACTAACTACCCCCCGGGCCCACTAACTACCCCCCTGGGCCACTAACTACCCCTAGGGCCCACTAACTACCCCCCGGGGCCACTAACTACCCCCGGGTCCATTAACTACCCCCCGGGGCCACTAACTACCCCCCGGGGCCACTAACTACCCCCTGGGGCCACTAACTACCCCCCGGGCCACTAACTACCCCCGGGGCCACTAACTACCCCCGGGGCCATTAACTACCCCCCGGGGCCACTAACTACCCCCCGGGGCCACTAACTACCCCCCGGGCCACTAACTACCCCCGGGGCCACTAACTACCCCCGGGGCCATTAACTACTCCCGGGGGCCACTAACTACCCCCCGGGCCCACTAACTACCCCCCGGGGCCACTAACTACCCCCCCGGGGCCACTAACTACCCCCCTGGGCCACTAACTACCCCCCGGGGCCACTAACTACCCCCCCGGGGCCACTAACTACCCCCCTGGGCCACTAACTACCCCCCGGGGCCACTAACTACCCCCTGGGCCCACTAACTACCCCCCGGGGCCACTAACTACCCCCCCCGGGGCCACTAACTACCCCCTGGGGCCACTAACTACCTCCCGGGCCCACTAACTACCCCCGGACCCACTAACTACCCCCTGGGCCCAATAACTACCCCCGGGGCCACTAACTACCCCCCAGGCCCACTAACTACCCCCCGGGCCCACTAACTACCCCCCGGGCCCACTAACTACCCCCCTGGGCCACTAACTACCCCTAGGGCCCACTAACTACCCCCCGGGGCCACTAACTACCCCCGGGTCCATTAACTACCCCCCGGGGCCACTAACTACCCCCCGGGGCCACTAACTACCCCCTGGGGCCACTAACTACCCCCCGGGCCACTAACTACCCCCGGGGCCACTAACTACCCCCGGGGCCATTAACTACCCCCCGGGGCCACTAACTACCCCCGGGGCCACTAACTACCCCCCGGGCCACTAACTACCCCCGGGGCCACTAACTACCCCCGGGGCCATTAACTACTCCCGGGGGCCACTAACTACCCCCCGGGCCCACTAACTACCCCCCGGGGCCACTAACTACCCCCCGGGGCCACTAACTACCCCCCTGGGCCACTAACTACCCCCCGGGGCCACTAACTACCCCCGGGTCCATTAACTACCCCCCGGGGCCACTAACTACCCCCCGGGGCCACTAACTACCCCCTGGGGCCACTAACTACCCCCCGGGCCACTAACTACCCCCGGGGCCACTAACTACCCCGGGGCCATTAACTACCCCCCGGGGCCACTAACTACCCCCCGGGGCCACTAACTACCCCCGGGCCACTAACTACCCCCGGGGCCACTAACTACCCCCGGGGCCATTAACTACTCCCGGGGGCCACTAACTACCCCCCGGGCCCACTAACTACCCCCCGGGGCCACTAACTACCCCCCCGGGGCCACTAACTACCCCCTGGGCCACTAACTACCCCCCGGGGCCACTAACTACCCCCCCGGGGCCACTAACTACCCCCCTGGGCCACTAACTACCCCCCGGGGCCACTAACTACCCCCTGAGCCCACTAACTACCCCCCGGGGCCACTAACTACCCCCCCGGGGCCACTAACTACCCCTGGGGCCACTAACTACCTCCCGGGCCCACTAACTACCCCCGGACCCACTAACTACCCCCTGGGCCCAATAACTACCCCCGGGGCCACTAACTACCCCCCAGGCCCACTAACTACCCCCCGGGCCCACTAACTACCCCCCGGGCCCACTAACTACCCCCCTGGGCCACTAACTACCCCTAGGGCCCACTAACTACCCCCCTGGGCCACTAACTACCCCCGGGTCCATTAACTACCCCCCGGGGCCACTAACTACCCCCCGGGGCCACTAACTACCCCCTGGGGCCACTAACTACCCCCCGGGCCACTAACTACCCCCGGGGCCACTAACTACCCCCGGGGCCACTAACTACCCCCCGGGGCCACTAACTACCCCCCGGGCCACTAACTACCCCCGGGGCCACTAACTACCCCCGGGGCCATTAACTACTCCCGGGGGCCACTAACTACCCCCGGGCCCACTAACTACCCCCCGGGGCCACTAACTACCCCCCCGGGGCCACTAACTACCTCCCTGGGCCACTAACTACCCCCCGGGGCCACTAACTACCCCCGGGGCCACTAACTACCCCCCTGGGCCACTAACTACCCCCCGGGGCCACTAACTACCCCCTGGGCCCACTAACTACCCCCCGGGGCCACTAACTACCCCCCGGGGCCACTAACTACCCCCTGGGGCCACTAACTACCTCCCGGGCCCACTAACTACCCCCGGACCCACTAACTACCCCCTGGGCCCAATAACTACCCCCGGGGCCACTAACTACCCCCCAGGCCCACTAACTACCCCCGGGGCCACTAACTACCCCCCCCCCGGGGCCACTAACTACCCCCTGGGGCCACTAACTACCTCCCGGGCCCACTAACTACCCCCGGACCCACTAACTACCCCCTGGGCCACTAACTACCCCCCGGGGCCACTAACTACCCCCCGGGGCCACTAACTACCCCCCCCCCGGGGCCACTAACTACCCCCCGGGGCCACTAACTACCCCCGGGGCCACTAACTACCCCCCGGGGCCACTAACTACCCCCCCCGGGGCCACTAACTACCCCCCTGGGCCACTAACTACCCCCGGGCCACTAACGAGGTGCTTGGCTCCACCGCAGAAAGCCGACCTGGCGGTGGGTTCCATGACCATCAACTACGCCAGAGAGAGCGTCATCGACTTCACTAAACCCTTCATGAACCTCGGCATCTCCATCCTCTTCAAGGTCAGTGTCGCCGGCCCAAGCTTAAGCTCTCTGGCTCTCCTTGTCAAGCTTACGAGGTCTGGCTAGGACTCTCTGGCTCTCCTTGTCAAGCTTACGAGGTCTGGCTAGGACTCTCTGGTTCTCCTTGTCAAGCTTACGAGGTCTGGCTAGGACTTCTGGCTGCTTAGGATAATCTTGCTGGCCTCAGCTCAAATACTCAGCCTATATTTATCAAGCGTACTCAGCAAAGCTGGGACTTTGGGTGTCAAGCGTACTAGGCCCAGCTGGACTTTGGGTGTCAAGCGTACTAGGCCCAGCTGGACTTTGGGTGTCAAGCGTACTAGGCCCAGCTGGACTTTGGGTGTCAAGCGTACTAGGCCCAGCTGGACTTTGGGTGTCAAGCGTACTAGGCCCAGCTGGACTTTGGCTGTCAAGCGTACTAGGCCCAGCTGGACTTTGGGTGTCAAGCGTACTAGGCCCAGCTGGACTTTGGGTGTCAAGCGTACTAGGCCCAGCTGGACTTTGGGTGTCAAGCGTACTAGGCCCAGCTGGACTTTGGGTGTCAAGCGTACTAGGCCCAGCTGGGACTTTGGGTGTCAAGCGTACTAGGCCCAGCTGGACTTTGGGTGTCAAGCGTACTAGGCCCAGCTGGACTTTGGGTGTCAAGCGTACTAGGCCCAGCTGGACTTTGGGTGTCAAGCGTACTAGGCCCAGCTGGACTTTGGGTGTCAAGCGTACTAGGCCCAGCTGGACTTTGGCTGTCAAGCGTACTAGGCCCAGCTGGACTTTGGGTGTCAAGCGTACTAGGCCCAGCTGGACTTTGGGTGTCAAGCGTACTAGGCCCAGCTGGACTTTGGGTGTCAAGCGTACTAGGCCCAGCTGGACTTTGGGTGTCAAGCGTACTAGGCCCAGCTGGGACTTTGGGTGTCAAGCGTACTAGGCCCAGCTGGACTTTGGGTGTCAAGCGTACTAGGCCCAGCTGGACTTTGGGTGTCAAGCGTACTAGGCCCAGCTGGACTTTGGGTGTCAAGCGTACTAGGCCCAGCTGGACTTTGGGTGTCAAGCGTACTAGGCCCAGCTGGACTTTGGGTGTCAAGCGTACTAGGCCCAGCTGGACTTTGGGTGTCAAGCGTACTAGGCCCAGCTGGACTTTGGGTGTCAAGCGTACTAGGCCCAGCTGGACTTTGGGTGTCAAGCGTACTAGGCCCAGCTGGACTTTGAGTGTCAAGCGTACTAGGCCCAGCTGGGACTTTGGCTGTATACATTAAGTCTTGCCATATAAAATGAATTCCTCTATGTGTTGAAGAGAGGATTATCTCTCTCATCGTCACCTCTCTCACACACACACACACACACACACACACACACACACACACACACACACACACACACACACACACACACACACACACACACACACACACACACACACACACACACACACACACACACACACACACACACACACACACACACACACACACACACACACACACACACACACACACACACACACACACACACACACACACACACACACACACACACACACACACACACACACACACACACACACACACACACACACACACACACACACACACACACACACACACACACACACACACACACACACACACACACACACACACACACACACACACACACACACACACACACACACACACACACACACACACACACACACACACATTTAACCCCCTCACCTTGTGACCCCCTAACACCTTCCCCCATCTCTCTCTTCCCCTCTTCTACCCCAAAACCCCCACCTACCCCCGATTCCCCCTAACTAATATACCCTCTCTTCCACTCCCAGCACCCATGCTCCATTCTCATCTCACCTCAGTATCCCTCTTCCCCCAACCTCTCAACCTCTATCTGACTCTCAGTCTCACTCTATTTCTCAACCCCCCTATGCTATTCAGACCCCTAACTTTCAGACCCATTATGCCCTTCCTACCCCCCTAGATGCCCAGACCCCATTCGCCTACCAGGCACTCCCAGGCACCCCCCTAGCACCCCCCCACTCGCCCCCACAGCCCCCACTTGCCCCCCAGACACCCCCCAGTTCCCCCCAGACCCATGGTGAAAGGGGGAACTCTGACACCCGAGTTTCCAAGAAGAGTCTCAAGGTTTGGTACACCAATGCTGATGGGGTAGCCAATAAAGCAGAAGAGATAAAAGAAAGAGTTAGTGAGGCAGACCCAGACGTAGTGGCAATAGTGGAAACTAAAATAAATGGCATGATCTCGGATGCAATCTTTCCAGAGGGGTACCAGGTGATAAGAAAAGAAAGGACACAGAGACAGGGAGGAGGAGTGGCACTACTAATAAAGCGGAAATGGAAGTTTGATGAGCTGGAAAATCCGGGTACCAATGAAAGCACAAGCTTCATACATGGAACCCTGACAGTGGATGGGAAGAAGATTGTAATCTTGATACTCTACAATCCCCCACCAAACAGTAGAAGGCCCAGGCAGGAGTACGAGGACAGCAACAAGACATGTATGGATGAACTGCAGAGGGCAGCAACTTTAGCGCATAGAATGAGAGCGAAGCTGCTGGTCATGGGGGACCTAAATCACGGAGAGATAGATTGGGAAACGAGGAATCCCCATGGCGGGGAGGAGACCTGGGGAGCGAAGCTGGTAGACGTTATTGACAGGAATTTCCTAACACAGCATGTGAAAGAAGATACTAGGGAAAGAGGAGGGGATACGCCCAGCCTATTAGATCTCATTATCACTCAGAATGTAGAAGACATCGAGCAGTTGGAACATGAAATACCACTAGGAGCTAGTGACCATTGTGTCCTAGCCTTTGACTACATGATGGAGCTTAAAATTGTGACCAAAGGACAAGAGGTCCGGGAAAGGAGACTTGATTACAGAAAAGGGGACTACAGAAGGATAAGGGACTACCTGGGAGAAGTGCAGTGGGAGGAAGAACTTAGAGGAAAAACAGTGCAAGGTATGATGAACCAAGTCATATTGAAATGCAAGGAGGCTGAAGATAGATTTATTCCAACAATAAAGACAAAAAGCAGGAGGGAATATAATAACCCATGGTTTAATAGACAGTGTCAGGAAGCAAAGGTGAGAAGCAGGAGGGAGTGGAGGAAGTACAGAAGACAAAGGACAGAGGACAACAGGATTAGATGTAACAGAGCTAGGAATGATTACATTAACATAAGACGAGTGTCGGAAAGAAATTATGAGAACGATATTGCAGTCAAAGCGAAAAAGCAACCAAAATTACTACATAGCCATATAAGAAGGAAGATGTCGGTAAATGACCAAGTGACAAGACTGAGGAAAACAGAAGGGGCATATACAGAAAGCGACAAGGAAATCTGCGAGGTACTGAATGCAAAATTCCATGGAGTGTTCACTACCGAGCCTGAGCAGCTCCCATTGTTAGAAGAGATTACCCAAGATGAAAGACTATCAGATATAGAGGTGACAGCAGAGGATGTAATGAAACAGTTGACAACACTGGATGCAAATAAAGCTGTTGGACCAGACAAAGTATCACCGTGGATACTTAAAGAGGCAGCGCAGGCTCTCAGCGTGCCTCTGGCAATGATCTTCAATGAGTCACTTATGTCGGGAGAATTGCCCAGTTGCTGGAAGGAGGCAAATGTCGTACCGATTTTCAAAAAGGGGGATAGGGAGGAGGCACTTAACTACAGACCCGTATCACTGACAAGCATCCCCTGCAAAATACTTGAAAGAATAATTAGGCTAAGACTTGTTGAGCACCTGGAGAGCATTGGGTTTGTAAACAAGCACCAACATGGGTTCTGGACAGGGAAATCATGCCTAACAAACCTTTTAGAATTCTATGATAAAGTAACAAGGATAAGGCAGGACAGAGAAGGCTGGGCAGACTGCATATTTCTTGACTGCCAAAAGGCCTTTGATACGGTACCGCACATGAGACTGCTATACAAACTTGAGAGGCAGGCAGGAGTAAGCGGAAAGGCCCTAGTATGGGTGAAGAACTACCTAACAGGAAGGAGCCAGAGGGTAATGGTAAGGGGCGAAAAGTCGGACTGGCGAACAGTAACAAGTGGAGTACCTCAAGGATCGGTGCTGGGACCAATCCTCTTTCTAATTTACGTAAATGATATGTTTACAGGAGTGGAATCATACATGTCAATGTTTGCAGATGACGCAAAATTAATGAGAAGAGTTGTGACAGACGAGGATTGTAGGATCCTCCAAGAGGACTTAAACAGGCTACAGAGATGGTCAGAGAAATGGCTACTGGAGTTTAACACCAGTAAATGTAAAGTTATGGAAATGGGATCAGGTGACAGGAGACCAAAGGGACAGTACACAATGAAGGGGAACAGCCTACCTGTAACGATTCGAGAAAGAGACCTGGGAGTGGATGTGACACCTAATCTAACTCCTGAGGCACATATAAATAGGATAACGACAGCAGCGTACTCTACACTGGCGAAAATTAGAACTTCATTCAGAAACCTAAATGAGGAAGCTTTTAGGGCGCTTTACACTGCCTACGTGAGACCCGTCTTAGAGTATGCCGCGCCATCATGGAGCCCCCACCTGAAGAAACACATAAAGAAACTGGAGAAGGTTCAGAGGTTTGCGACGAGGCTTGTCCCAGAGCTACGAGGGATGGGATATGAAGAGCGGCTGAAGGAACTGAACCTTACGACACTAGAGAAAAGAAGGGAGAGAGGAGATATGATAGGGACATATAAAATACTCAGGGGAATTGACAAAGTGGAAATAGATGAAATGTTCACACGTAATAATAACAGAACGAGGGGACATGGGTGGAAACTGGAAACTCAGATGAGTCACAGAGATGTTAGGAAGTTTTCTTTTAGCGTGAGAGTAGTGGAAAAATGGAATGCACTTGGGGAACAGGTTGTGGAAGCAAATACTATTCATACTTTTAAAACTAGGTATGATAGGGAAATGGGACAGGAGTCATTGCTGTAAACAACCGATAGCTAGAAAGGCGGGATCCAAGAGTCAATGCTCGATCCTGCAAGCACATATAGGTGAGTACATATAGGTGAGTACACACACACACACACACACACACACACACACACACACACACTCACACACACACACACACACACACACACACACACAGCCTGGTGGATAGCCCGCAGGATTCGTAATTCTGTGGCGCGGGTTCGATTCCATCAAAAGGAAGAAACAAATGGGCAAAGTTTCTTTCACCCTGAATGCCCCTGTTACCTAGCAGTAAATAGGTACCTTGGAGTTAGTCAGCTGTCACGGGCTGCTTCCTGGTGTGTGTGTGTGTGGTGTGGAGAGAGAAAAAAACGTAGTTAGTAAACAATTGATTGACAGTTGAGAGGCGGACCGAAAGAGCAAAGCTCAACCCCCGCAAACACAACTAGGTGAATACACACACACACACACGTACATACATACATACATACATACATACATACATACATACATACATACATACATACATACATACATACATACATACATACATACAATCTAATGTAAGGGGGAAACTGGTATAATCAAATTAAGAATGGAATGAGAGATACATTTGAAAACAATATACAAGCAGAAACCCAAACAGATATTCATAGAGATGAGGAAGCAGGATGTTAAGCACATCAAAGCAGGTGGTCTGTGAGAGACTGTGATGGAGACAGATGTTCCAGCAGGCGTGTTGCAGATGTTCCAGCAGGTGTGTTGCTGTGATTGAAACCCGAAAGGTCCCGAATATGCTGCAGGTCTGGTAAGTCCCGCTTGGGTTCGAAGGACCAGATGTGACCCTATACCGCAGTGTGATGGTTAACCGCACCTCAATGTGAGGGATCGTTCACAGACTGGGCACAAGAAGGGCAGCTTAACATGGAGTTGCCACATGTCCATAGCTCGGGGCAAGGATAATACAAACTAACAAGCCTCAACAAGGCACAAAAGAATTACCGCCCATGAACATCGAACTAACATCACGTTGCTCGAGCGTTGAGGATGACTAAAGTCATCGCAGGCTGCCAAGAAAACCATCCCAGGCTGTCAAGAAAGGGTTGACTACAAGTTATGACAAACCAGGAACATCATAGCATAACCAAAAAATGCCAAGGCAGACCTGAACTTGGCTTCATAGAAATAGCGAGATCGTGATCGCGAAGAAGAGAGTTCGAGAGGCCCCAGAGACAGAGGACCATCTCCCCAGAGGGAAGGTTCCGTGCCAGTAACATCTCGCTGAGGAACAGAAGGCAGCAGACTCTCAGCTGGAACAGTTGCTGAGCGACCTCTGCTGCCGACATGGAAACAACGACGCCCCCCCCAACCCCCAGAGAAGACGTAACCTCGCCCAATGAAACATCAACCCCTGATGCAGGCGAGGAGTCACAATAACGTGGCTGAAGTATGTTGACCAGACCACACACTAGAAGTTGAAGGGACGACGACGTTTCGGTCCGTCCTGAACCATTCTTCTAGTGTGTGGTCTGGTCAACATACATCAACCCCTGACTTCGAAGCTTTTAGGGGTTACTACCCAAACTCAGACTCCATAACACCAGGAACGGCCAAGCAGCCTGACAAAGCCAAACCAGAAGGGACTCCGCGCCATGAAATGGAACAATGAGCGGACTCCTGGACCTCCACCACCACACACAAACATCACCATCAGGACAAACCATTCCTGCATGCTACGAAGAGCGAGGCATCCTCAACGGCAGGCTGGCCTTTCGTGCCGGGAGATCCGAACCCACCAAGAAGGACACGCCGGTCAGTTCAGGGCAACACCGGCGAGCATCTGAGGAAACAGCGACAGCAACCTGAGAGTGGAGAGGTTCTCAGAGTGCCCACGACAAGTGAGCTCATGATCACACCTGGAGCACATGTAGGAGACCCAACACACACAAGCAAATGGGCCAATACTCAAGGAATTATGTTATGAAAAGAACACGCCAACCTGGAAGGTTGAAGAGTAGTCGAGACGCACATGTGATCCAAACACAGTCCCAACACACACACGACAACACATAAACACAGCCAAAACACACACACATGACACAAGATAAGAATGTCCCGTGTTGATACTTTTAATACCCTATTAATATCCCCTTTGTTATGTCCATGCATCCACTTGTAAACCTCTATCATGTCACCCCTAACTCTTCGCCTTTCCAGTGAATGCAATTTAATCATTGTTAATCTTTCTTCATATGAAAGATTTCTAATTTGGGGAATTAACTTAGTCATCCTACGCTGGACACGTTCAAGTGAATTTATATCCATTCTATAGTACGGCGACCAAAACTGAACTGCATAATCTAAATGGGGCCTAACCAGAGCAAGATATAGCTGAAGAACCACACCAGGTGTCTTGTTACTAACGCTTCGATTAATAAATCCCAGTGTCCGATTTGCCTTATTACGAACATTTATGCATTGATTTTTTGGTTTTAAATTCTTACTAATCACAACTCCCAGATCCCTTTCGCAATCCGACTTCGCAATCTCAACACCATCTAGCTCGTATCTTGTAACTCTATCATCATTACCTAGCCTCAGAACTTTACATTTATCAGCATTAAACTGCATTTGCCAATCCTTTGACCATTTCAAAACCCCTATTTAGATCAACTTGAAGCGATAGTGAGTCTTCTTCCGTGTTAATTTCCCTACCGATTTTCGTATCATCTGCAAATTTGCAAATGTTGCTACTCAAACCTGAATCTAAATCATTTATATATATTATAAACAACAGAGGTCCCAGGACAGAGCCTTGAGGTACTCCACTAACAACATTTTCCCACCCTGACTTGACTCCATTTATACTAACTCTCTGTTACCTTTGGTATAGCCATGCCCTAATCCAGCTTAATATAGCACCCCCAATACCATGAACCTCTACCTTTGGTATAGCCATGCCCTAATCCAGCTTAATATAGCGCCCCCAATACCATGAGCCTCTACCTTTGGTATAGCCATGCCCTAATCCAGCTTAATATAGCACCCCCAATACCATGAACCTCTACCTTTGGTATAGCCATGCCCTAATCCAGCTTAATATAGCGCCCCCAATACCATGAGCCTCTACCTTTGGTATAGCCATGCCCTAATCCAGCTTAATATAGCACCCCCAATACCATGAGCCTCTATCTTTTTAATCAGTCTTTCATGTGGCACTGTATCAAAAGCTTTGCTAAAGTCAAGGTCCACAACATCACAATCCTTACCACTATCAACTGCCTCAACTATGCTGGGATAAAACATGACATACAAGCAGGGCAACAATTAAGACACACACACATGACACTGTAATAACCATTAATCTCCACTACCTGCTCCGCTACTTCTATTGTACTAACAGATGTTCCTTAACACTCCGGCCGTCATACCAGGAAGTAAACAATTAATCAATGTAGATTGAGAACTGCTTAGGCAGTTTACGGGGGTAGAACGTGAGAGAGAGAGAGAGAGAGAGAGAGAGAGAGAGAGAGAGAGAGAAAGTTGGGTGTTCCGCCTTACTCCTGTGTACCTTATAGTTCCCCGAGTGATCAGGATTATTCCGCTGACAGGCCAGGATCCTCACACCACTCAATGGTCCCTTACACCTGTCCTGGTAGGATTACATGGTCCCTTACACCTGTCCTGGTAGGATTACACGGTCCCTTACACCTGTCCTGGTAGGATTACATGGTCCCTACCACCTGTCCTGGTAGGATTACATGGTCCCTTACACCTGTTCTGGCAGGATTACACGGTCCCTTACACCTGTCCTGGTAGGATTACATGGTCCCTTACACCTGTCCTGGCAGGATTACACAATTTACAAGACCTACGAATCCCCGGTCCACTGTCTGGTAACTCAGGGTGGTGGCAGCGTTACTTGGTAACTTATATGAAGGCTGTAGCAACTAATATGTCAATCTCACTCTCCCTCATTCGTTCTCATTCTCCCTAACTCGTTTCTCACTCTCCATGACTCTCCCTCTACCCCCACTCTCTCCCTCACGTTCTACTCCCGTAAGTTGCCTAACCAGTTCTTAGTCTATAGTGATTAATTGTTTAGTTCCTCATATGACGGCCCGAGTGTTAACCTGTCACAAGATCGGTAGAACGTCCGTTAGTACAATAGAAGTAACGGAGCAGGTAGTGGAGATTAACGGTTATTACAATGGTGGCAGCGGTGGGATTCGTAGGACTTGTTCGAAGTGGTCTGGAGGTGGTAAAGTGGTAATCATCCTGTGACTTGCTTGTGCTTCCACCTGTATGCAGATCCCTACGAGCCAGCCCACTCGTCTGTTCTCGTTCATGAACCCGTTGGCGGTGGAGATCTGGCTGTACGTGATGGCTGCGTACGTGCTGGTGGCCTTCACCATGTTTGTGATGGCCAGGTTCTCCCCCTACGAGTGGAACAACCCGCACCCTTGCAACGCTGAGAGCGACGTGGTCGAGAACCAGTTCAGCGTTAGCAACTCTTTCTGGTTCATCACCGGTACGCTGCTGCGACAAGGTTCTGGTCTCAACCCTAAGGTCAGTGCTGGAGGCAGCGAGCTCTGATGGGAGGCATATTGTCTTGTGCTGCCTCGTTTGTAACCTTCTCTTTGCTTTTGTGTTGATTTGCAAGGATAATTCTCGCGTAGGCCTCTGACTGGCCCTTTAGCCTTCACAGACGATTAAATACCTGTAGATCAATTGATTGACTTATCAGCTCGAGAACGATTGCAACACGAGACAAAATGTCGTTCATCTGCACTAATTCGCCATCTTTTTCAGACCCGAGCGACAGCGGAACCCCGGCAGCCTCTTCCCATGTTCTATGATGCACCCTTTGTTTACTCTCCCTGTAAATGTCTTCTCTACATCTAGATTCATTACCTCTCCTGGCTGCTGCTACCTAGGTGCCCCAGAGAGTCCCTACCCAGCTGTTCAGCTTCATGAACCCTCTGGCTGTGGAGATATGGTTCTACATCCTAGCCGCCTACGTGGGCGTCTCCAGTACCATCTACGTCGTGGCCAGGTTCTCTCCCTACGAGTGGCACATCCCCGGACCCTGCCATGACAATAGAGAGGTCATGGAGAACGACTTCACCCTTGCCAACTCGTTCTGGTTCACTATTGGAACCCTTATGCAGCAAGGGTCCGATCTGAACCCTAAGGTACCGTCGAGACTAGAACCGTTTGGGCACGGTTCTCTCTCTCTCTCTCTCTCTCTCCTCAGCACTCACTCCTGGGGGCCTCTTGGTGCTTCCTGGGGCCTCCTGGTGCTTCCTGGGGCCTCCTGGTGCTTCCTGGGGCCTCCTGGTGCTTCCTGGGGCCTCCTGGGGCCTCCTGATACCTCATGTATACTGTAATCATATTTACTCATGATCAATGTATTCTGTGCTCTATGTATTGCTGTCTAGGTGAACATATACATTATACATGTTGATGGATACATGTGAACACACTACCAGCTGATGGATAGTGTGGGAGTAGTTAACAGATGGAATGTATTAGGCAGTGATGTGGTGGAGGCTGACTCCATACACAGTTTATAATGTAGATATGATAGAGCCCAATAGGCTCAGGAACCTGTACACCTGTTGATTGACAGTTGAGAGGCGGGACCAAAGAGCCAGAGCTCAACTTCCGCAGCAGTATACAGTATACTTTAGTTCTAGAGTAAGGTACACCTGCTGGTTGGTCGATAAGCAATTATGATCTCAATGACCCTCCAGAGGTTGATAGGTCTTAATAACCCTCCAGAGGTTGATAGGTCTTAATGACCCTCCAGAGGTTGATACGCCTTAATGACCCTCCAGAGGTTGATAGGCCTTAATGACCCTCCAAAGGTTGATAGGCCTTAATGACCCTCCAGAGGTTGATAGGCCTTCATGACCCTCCAGAGGTTGATAGGCCTTAATGACCCTCCAAAGGTTGATAGGCCTTAATGACCCTCCAGAGGTTGATAGACCTTAATAACCCTCCAGAGGTTGATAGGTCTTAATAACCCTCCAGAGGTTGATAGGCCTTAATAACCCTCCAGAGGTTGATAGGTCTTAATAACCCTCCAGAGGTTGATACGCCTTAATGACCCTCCAAAGGTTGATAGGCCTTAATGACCCTCCAGAGGTTGATACGCCTTAATGACCCTCCAGAGGTTGATAGGCCTTAATGACCCTCCAGAGGTTGATAGGCCTTAATGACCCTCCAAAGGTTGATAGGCCTTAATGACCCTCCAGAGGTTGATAGGCCTTAATGACCCTCCAAAGGTTGATAGGCCTTAATGACCCTCCAGAGGTTGATAGGCCTTAATAACCCTCCAGAGGTTGATAGGCCTTAATAACCCTCTAGAGGTTGATAGGTCTTAATAACCCTCCAGAGGTTGATAGGCCTTAATAACCCTCCAGAGGTTGATAGGTCTTAATAACCCTCCAGAGGTTGATAGGCCTTAATAACCCTCCAGAGGTTCATAGGCCTTAATAACCCTCCAGAGGTTGATAGACCTTAATAACCCTCCAGAGGTTGATTGGCCTTAATAACCCTCCAGAGGTTGATAGGTCTTAATAACCCTCCAGAGGTTGATAGGCCTTAATAACCCTCCAGAGGTTGATACACCTTAATAACCCTCCAGAGGTTGATAGACCTAAATAACCCTCCAGAGGTTGATAGACCTTAATAACCCTCCAGAGGTTGATAGACCTTAATAACCCTCCAGAGGTTGATAGACCTTAATAACCCTCCAGAGGTTGATAGGCCTTAATAACCCTCCAGAGGTTGATAGGCTTTAATAACCCTCCAGAGGTTGATAGACCTTAATAACCCTCCAGAGGTTGATAGACCTTAATAACCCTCCAGAGGTTGATAGATCTTAATAACCCTCCAGAGGTTGATAGACCTTAATAACCCTCCAGAGGTTGATAGACCTTAATAACCCTCCAGAGGTTGATAGACCTTAATAACCCTCCAGAGGTTGATAGACCTTAATAACCCTCCAGAGGTTGATAGACCTTAATAACCCTCCAGAGGCTGATAGGCCCTCAAATCACCAGTACAGGTAGGCCTTGCGGTAAATGAGACAATGAGTGACCTATGAGGCATGAGTGAGTGCTGGTGACGGGGGGGGGGGAGGGTGAGGGAGGTCACCCATCCAGGTGAAGTCACTGCCTGAAAATATTCACTGCAGAAGCTGTGTTGTATGAGTCCTTATCCTGCAGCCTGGCTTCTCTGTTGCATAGATCATGTACTCTCTTGACACGAGTCCTGTTGGCCGTCACTCAGCCTGGCTTCTGTTGCAACGGTCCTGTACTCTCTGTTGCATGCTCTCTGTGCTTCATATTGTATCCTTAGTGAAGCCTCAAGTGCTTCCTGACATGCTTAGTGAAGCCTCGTGAAGCACCATGATTATGACAGTAGGAAAAGATCCGACTGACTTTGTGAGAGTGTTAAGAGAGAGAGAGAGAGACGGAGAGTGACAGACAGACAGAGAGACAGACAGACAGACAGAGAGACACAGAGAACACGCAGGTTCAAGTCACCCCCACGGCCTCACCCTAACCTAACACTAACTGGTCAATATTAACATTATACGTAGGTACAATGTTCCATATAAGCATTACAAGGACTGGTTCAGAGCCTCCCAACACCTCCATAACTCCCATTAACCACAATAACACAGTAGAGTAGTTCATCCTACCTACACCCCGGCGCCTGGGGGAGTATATCTTACATTTACAATGGCTTCAGTAGAGGCTCTTTGGGGCTTCCTGGGGCCTTCTTGGGTCCTCCTGGAGCCTCCTGGAGCTTCCTGGAGCTTTCTGGGGCTTTCTGGAGCGTCATAGAGCGTCATGGAGCTTTCTGGAGCTTCCTGGGGCTTCCTGGGGCTTCCCTGGAGCCTCCTGGAGCTTCCTGGAGCCTCCTAGAGCTTCCTGAAGCTTCCTGGGGCCTCCTGGAGCTTCCTGAGGCCTCCTAGAACTTCCTGGAGCTTCCTGAGGCCTCCTGGAGCTTCCTGGAGCCTTCTAGAGCTTCCTGGGGCCTCTTAGAGCTTCCTGGAGCTTCCTGGAGCTTCCTGAAGCCTCCTGGAGCTTCCTGGGGCCTCCTGGAGCTTCCTGGGGCCTCCTAGAGCTTCCTGGGGCCTCCTAGAGCTTCCTGGAGCTTCCTGGGGCCTCCTGGAGCTTCCTGGAGCCTCCTGGAGCTTCCTGGGGCCTCCTAAAACTTCCTGGAGCCTCCTGGAGCTTCCTGGAGCTACCTGGGGCTTCCTGGAGCTTCCTGGAGCCTCCTGGAGCTTCCTGGGGCCTCCTGGAGGTTTCTGGGGCCTCCTGGGGCCTCCTGGAGCTTCCTGGGGCTTTCTGGATCTTCCTGGAGCCTCTGGAGCTTCTTGGAGCCTTCTGGAGCTTCTTGGGGCCTCCTGGAGCTTCCTGGGGCATCCTGGAGCTTCCTGGGGCCTCCTGGAGCTTCCTGGGGCATCCTGGAGCTTCCTGGGGCCTCCTGGAGCTTCCTGGAGCCTCCTGCAGCTTCCTGAAGCCTCCTGGGTCTTCCCAGGTTGAACAAGTTATACCTAGTTGTGGTACAGGGGTAAGGTGAAGATATAATAAAAAGAGTTAAGAATAATAACAGCGATAAAGAATAATAAGGAGAGACAAGGCACAATAATGGCCAGTAACTCTTAGTGAAAAATTGTCCTTTCGCCAGACTTAAGAAAAAGCAATTTTTTATGGAAATTGAATATCTGTCAACACTGTTTAGGCATTTATGGTGGCATTTATGGTGGCATTTATGGTGGCATTTCTGGCGGCATTTATGGCAGCATTTATGGTGGCATTTATGGTGGCATTTATGGTGGCATTTATGGCAGCATTTATGGCAGCATTTATGGTGGCATTTATGGTGGCATTTATGGTGGCATTTATGGTGGCATTTATGGCAGCATTTATGGTGGCATTTATGGCATTTATGGTGGCATTTATGGTGGCATTTATGGCAGCATTTATGGCAGCATTTATGGTGGCATTTATGGCAGCATTTATGGCAGCATTTATGGTGGCATTTATGGTGGCATTTATGGTGGCATTCATGGTGGCATTTATGGCGGCATTTATGGTGGCATTTATGGTGGCATTTATGGTGGCATTTATGGTGGCATTTATGGCGGCATTTATGGCAGCATTTATGGTGGCATTTATGGTGGCATTTATGGCATTTATGGTGGCATTTATGGTGGCATTTATGGTGGCATTTATGGTGGCATTTATGGTGGCATTTATGGTGGCATTTATGGCAGCATTTATGGTGGCATTTATGGTGGCATTTATGGCAGCATTTATGGTGGCATTTATGGCAGCATTTATGGTGGCATTTATGGTGGCATTTATGGCAGCATTTATGGTGGCATTTATGGTGGCATTTATGGCAGCATTTATGGTGGCATTTATGGTGGCATTTATGGTGGCATTTATGGTGGCATTTATGGCGGCATTTATGGTGGCATTTATGGTGGCATTTATGGTGGCATTTATGGTGGCATTTATGGTGGCATTTATGGCGGCATTTATGGTGGCATTTATGGCATTTATGGTGGCATTTATGGTGGCATTTATGGTGGCATTTATGGTGGCATTTATGGCAGCATTTATGGTGGCATTTATGGTGGCATTTATGGTGGCATTTATGGTGGCATTTATGGTGGCATTTATGGTGGCATTTATGGTGGCATTTATGGTGGCATTTATTGGCATTTATGGTGGCATTTATGGTGGCATTTATGGTGGCATTTATGGCATTTATGGTGGCATTTATGGTGGCATTTATGGCAGCATTTATGGTGGCATTTATGGTGGCATTTATGGTGGCATTTATGGCAGCATTTATGGCAGCATTTATGGTGGCAATTATGGTGGCATTTATGGTGGCATTTATGGCAGCATTTATGGCAGCATTTATGGTGGCATTTATGGCAGCATTTATAGTGACATTTATGGTGGCATTTATGGTGGCATTTATGGCAGCATTTATAGTGGCATTTATGGTGGCATTTATGGTGGCATTTATGGCAGCATTTATGGTGGCATTTATGGTGGCATTTATCCAGCAGCATTTATGGTGGCATTTATGGTGGCATTTATGGCAGCATTTATGGTGGCATTTATGGCAGCATTTATGGTGGCATTTATGGTGGCAT